ACATAAAATATGTCCATTTATATATAAATATATATAATTTTATGTAATTTTATATATTTTATTAAGAAAATTATTCAATCGCATTTCTTTCATAAAGTCGCACGTAAAATGTGATTGGATAATTTTCTTTATGCATATACGTTTATGCGGCTATGCAAGTTGTGTGGATATAACGTGGACTTAAATCGATGAGCCAATCAGGATACTGCTTTAGACCTGTGTATGTAATCTGACGGAAATAGTAAATCCATATTATCCATAAGAATTTCAATCGGTTGACTTTTTCTTTAGAACAGGCTTAAAGTCTGTTCTACAATAGGATCGTAAGCCGTAAGAAATTAACAAATAGTAATTGATTATTTTTATCATATTCAACTGTGATTGGACTAAAAGGACAATAAAAAGGGCAGCCTAAAAAATACAATACTTTTTTTAAAATGAGTTTCAGAATGTAACCTATTTACTGAGCGATTGGTTCTTACTTATGGATCTATAAGTAATAACCAATCGTTCGGTGAACATGTACATATACATGTTGGAAAAGAAAAAGAGAAAAAATAAACGGTACAAGAATTTCAGCTATTATCGATTATTTAGCTTCGCCATTTTAACGCATCGAATTTTCAAACGCTGTCTGTCATTCCGTCTCCGCAATATGTCGCGTCCAAAACAAAACTGTTTGCAAGTGAAACTAATTCTGGCTGCGATAAATCAAAAGCAATATTGCTCGTAAGAGACAATCGATCGTTAAACTCTTGCGTGCATAGTGGTGCATATGAGCGAGCGAATGGCTTAATCGAGCGTTTCCCGTCCAGCCGGAAAAATAACCTTCAAAAACCGACGCTTGACACATGGAAAATGCCGCGCGCCAAAAGCTTTCCGCAGAAACTAGTCAAGGTGACGAGCTCTCACCCGTCGGCGAACACATGGGTGTTCCTGATGAAAGGTGAACGCGACGATTTATTGTTGTTTTATCATATTGACAATTGCAACTTGCAATTTTACTAGTGATTGTTGCGGTCGCATTGTAGATGTCCCTGAGAAATACATGTCTCCGTATTGTGTATCAATGAAAATGTATTTTAGATGGCAATTTAGACAGCACAAGTAGAGGCCAATCTGAGATAGTGAAACTTAGACATCCAGCTTCTGATAAACCAGCTATATTTGTATTTGGCGCTGGAAATCTCACAGTTCAAGAGATTTTAATCTTTGACGAAAAGAAAAGATCTTGGTTTATTGATGATAATGTCAAATCTGATGGAAAGTTGCATTTATCGACACCAATTGATCCTATCTTTTTGGCTTTACCATACTTGAGAAAGGTAATTGTAGAATTTTATTTCTTTATGAAAAATTTTTGAGATGTAGTTGTTAAAATAAATGTCTTTGTTAGTCACAACTAGCACAACCTTTGGAGCAATGCCTCTGGGATGAAGATTTTCCAGAGACTTCTCGACTTGCACAATGTGACAACTTGAATCTATCCTTAGTTGCCGATCGTAAAGGAGACGAATCACTACAAGCTTTCAAGTTTAATGAGGAGAAATCGTTAAATTGGTTACAAAAGAAGGTAGAAAAGGTAGCACATGTATTAAAAGAAAAAGGAGTTCATGTATCTCAAGGTGCTATGAGTGCCACTTATGTTAAGAGTACTATATATGAAATTGGTACTGAAGCAGGTAAGAAAAATGCTGTTTATGAAACAAAGAAAGGATAAGATAGAATATTATAAGATAGAATATTTGAGGGTTTCTCAATATCATTATAGCTGAATTGAGATATAACGAGATCTTCAACCAATTTTTGTAGGCCACCATCTACAAGCAAGATCAATTAATTGAGCACTTATCGAAAATTTTCTTATAGAATACTTAAAATATGCACATGGCATTGTGTCAGAATACCTTGCTGAAGATCTCTCAAAGAAACTGGCACAACGTATGAATATATCTGATGAAGTGGAGAGTAAAAAACGCAAGCTGAATAGTCCTCAAAATGAAACGGATGAGAAGAAGCTTAAGAAAGATTCCTTCGAAGAAAGTTCAGTGCCAAAAGCAAAGAAGCAAACAAAAACTTTAAGTAAACCCGAAAAGGTCAGTTATCAATAGCAATAGTAATTATAATCATTTTTAATAAAT